AAAAAAAAATGTTATTGCCAAAAAACAAATGGGTGAAAAAAAAACTAGCCAATGAGGAGCTAACACTTGGCGTGAGAGTGGGGGAGAGCGCAATCTGATTTTTTTTTCCTTTTTAACCCTCACAACTGTAACATCCGTTTCCTTGGGTGTTTCGAATTAGGGTTTTGGGAGGATTGAAGATTTGAGTTTTGGAGGATAAGGGGTCCTCACGACGTGAGGCATGGATTCTCACGATGTGAGGAGGGTCATATGAAGATTTCATCCCGGTCTGGGCTCACGACGTGAGGAACGTTGTAGCCCAAGCCCACAAATTTTTAGGGTTTCCTATGTATTTAAGCCACCTTAATTCAGTTTTAGTTTTTATTTCTCAGCCTCCACCCTCCCAGAACTAAGAAAACCCTAGCCCTAACCCATTTGGTGGTTTTGGATCCATTCTTGGTGATTTGGTGGCTAGAAGAAGGAGAAGAAGAGGCCCTAGAGTGTTGGTTCAATAAGGAGACTTCATCATCATTATCTTGTGCACATTTTGGACCATTGTAAGTGTTCAAGATCCAATCTTTGTGGGTTCAAATTGCTAGATCTACGTTCTAAGCTCCTTCTAACTTTAACCTTCTAACTTCATATTATGAACAACAAATCATGCATGGCTGAACCAACGCCATCAAGATACGATTTTTATACACTAGGAACCTCAAAAACATCAAGAAGTGCTAACCTATGCTTCTGAAGTAGCTTTTACTCACAAGAATCAACCCATGGGACCAAAATATGCCAAAACCCTAAGCTAAACTATATCTAAGCAATGAATCATAAATGTTGAGTATTTATACCTTCTGGAAGATGATGAAGAATAGTAGAATCTGGATATACAAGCTCCAAGCCAACCAACACTTATCCAATGAGCTCCTTCTTCTTCAGTATGCACCAAAATCACACCAAATCACTCAAAGGGCTCAAGAATCTCACAAATGGGGTTAGGGTTTCGAGGGGACTGCTTTAGAGGATGAGGGATGAGGATAATGCCAGCCTCAAGGGAGACAATGAGGTTTTATAGGGTCTAAGACCCTAAAATTAGGGTTTGCATTCGACATGAGTACGCCCGACGTACTCTAGCTACACACTGCATACTCAAGAGAAACCTTGATGCCACGTTTAATGAACTACGCCCCGCGTAACACTTGGTTACACCCCATGTATGACCTTATTATCAAAATTGAAATATACGAATTAGCTTTAAAAGAATTTACCTGCGATCCGGGTGTTACAGATTCATTGAATACCAATCATATTTGTTGAAATGCTTTTCTCACTAAATATATCGAAAAACTATTGAAAGAGGAGTAGAGATGATGAAGTCCGGCTGATTGAAGCCATCTATTGTTGAAATTAGTGTCGATGAAGTTATCAGATGGGGAGTATTGACGTTGATGTTGATGTCCTCCGCTGGAACCAAATCTCTACATCCATACTCTTCCAATTGTGTTCATGTAAAATCCGCAGTGCTATCCGATTAAGGTTCATAAACTGAATATTTGTAGTGAAATACAATAACACGAAGACAAAAGCACCGACCATGTGTTGTATAATCGATTGAATGAAGCTTGACCATGTGTTGTATATTCTGTTCCAATTTCCTAATAAGCCAAGGAGGTGATTGTTAGGGTTTTGGAAGAGACGGTGATAATCAATCGTTCTTGACCACAACCCTCAGATGAGGTTTGGGTGAAGAAGATGACATCGACGATTATAAATTTTTCTATAGGAGCAAATTTTGAAGAACTATGGTGTTTGTGAAATATTTATTTAAAAAAAAAAACTAGATTTGAAATTAAATAATTATCTATTTGGATTCTAAGCGGACAAACCAACTCCAATTTCACCGGGAAACCGATAACTTTTGAGTTGCATCTCTATTTAACAAGTAAATTTAAAATTGAATGATCTGTTATACAAAAACAAAAAAAATAATAGTGATTAAATCAAGACAAAACATAAAATTTATTGCGGTGTTATTTTCCTTTGTTTTAATTGGCAAAACCCTAGCTTTGATGTTTTTTTTATACATTTTATTACATAAATAATTAAATATTAGTAATTCTCGTTACGTAAATATTAGGCATCAAATTGAACGAAACGAAGGGCTGACGTGGCAGTGGGCCTACACCCTTGTGCCCTAATATGAAGAATCACATATACATCTTCCCTCTTTCAACAATTTTCCAATCGCTGTCTCTTTCTCTCCCTCCATAATTCCGCAACCGGACCTCATACAAATGGGAAGTGCAGCTAACGGTGGCGCCGTTGATATGGATACATCCACCAGCAATGGCAGCGTTTCCGTCGACAAGGGGGTCGATTTCGCCAATTATTTCTGCACATACGCCTTTCTCTACCACCAGAAAGAAATGCTCTCTGACCGTGTTCGAATGGACGCTTATTACAACTCTGTTTTCAAGAACAAACACCACTTCATCGGAAAAGTAAGTATCTTTGTGTCTAATATATTCTTTTAAGTGTTTCATATTAAATTTTGTTGCGCAGTTCTCATATCGTCATTATTGCATTCAAGGCATTTAAATAATCGTCTTATAATGCTTTAGAATCATGCCACGCGATGCAATTTTGACGAATGAAGTACTTATCTGCTTTTTATTATGCACAAATAGAACTTATTGTCTGTTGTTCTGCTTCGAGTAAGCTTTTCTTGTTTCACTAATCACCAATCTCTTCATTCCAGAAGAACTACAGTTAAATCTTAGACTTTTTGAATCTAAGCTGTATACAATTCTAGAGGTTAATGTATCGAAGTTGAAAATTAATCTTATGAAACATAACATTCACGTCCTTTTTGGGACAAGGTTCAAAAGACCTTGCTAGGATTCATATCTTGAAATTATATATGATTGGCTAGCAATTCAGAATCTTGAATGTCAATTCCTTCATAAGCTCACTGAAACACCAAACTAAACTGTTGATTCCATGGTGAAGACTGTGTTGGATGTAGGAACAGGGAGTGGCATTTTAGCAATTTGGTCAGCTCAAGCAGGTGCAAAGAAAGTGTATGCAGTGGAAGCTACAAAAATGGCAGATCATGCTCGTGAGCTTGTTAAAGCAAATAACCTCCATGGTATTGTTGAAGTCATCGAAGGTTCAATAGAAGATATAACATTGCCTGAAAAAGGTTTGTTTCAAAAACATCTATTCAACACCCATTATTTACAATTTCACCCCTTTCTCATAATAAAAAGTTATCAACAGTTGATGTAATCATATCTGAGTGGATGGGATACTTTCTTCTTCGTGAATCCATGTTTGATTCTGTTATCTGTGCTCGTGATCGTTGGCTAAAACCAACTGGAGTTATGTAAGTACTTTTATATTTTTTTAATATTTAGATTTAAATAAGTTTTTAATTAATTATTTATTGTTTTATAGGTATCCTAGTCATGCGCGAATGTTTTTGGCACCTATAAGATCAGGATTATCAGATCATAAAATGAGTGATTATGAAGGATGTATGGATGATTGGCATGGTTTTGTTAATGACACTAAATCTTATTATGGTGTTGATATGAGTGTTTTGACAAAACCCTTTTCTGAAGAGCAAAAGAAGTATTACTTACAGGTTTAATTTGATTAAAACTTGTTTGTAATTTGTAATTTGTATTTGTATATACTTCTTTTAATCAAACCATTTACTTTTTCTATTTTAATGTGTAGAATTCCCTTTGGAATAGTCTTCATCCAAATCAAGTAGTGGGAACTCCTACTATTTTAAAGGAGATTGATTGTTTAAAAGTAACTGTTGAAGAAATACTAAAAGTTCAATCAATTGTTTCATCAACAATTGTTAAAGAGGACACTAGGCTTTGTGGGTTTGGTGGCTGGTTTGATGTTCATTTTAAAGTATGCTATTATTATTATCACTATTACTATTACTATTACTATTATTATTATTTATTGTTATTATAATTATTATTGAAATAGGGAAGAGAGGAAGATCCAGCTGAGTGTGAGGTGGAGTTGACTACAGCTCCCAGTGTAGATGATGGCACACATTGGGGACAACAGGTTAATAATGATAAATATTAAAGTTTATTATTACTATTAATATTACTATTATTATTTATAATAAACAGATGAATGAAAATATGTTGTTATTTCTTGCACTATTTACAGGTGTTTCTTTTGCATCCACCTGTCCGTGTGAACGAAAAGGATGATATCCATATCAATTTTACAATGAGTCGTTCTGAAGAAAACCATCGTTTGATGAAAGTTGATCTTGGGTATCAAATTAAATTGTCATCCGGTAAGATGTTGACACCTGTCAATAACAAATTCTATATCGAATGAAGCTAAGGTCAATGACACAATGTTCATTGACATTTCAAAAGCATGAAAGTTTCATCTCTTTTCATGTAATTTATGTTGTATGCTATTTGGTTCGTTTCTTGATTTTGTCATTTAAAAACCATTATTCGTTGTAAGCGTTAAATGTTTTGCTACGTAATTGTTTTGTATTTTTTGTTAGTTTTTAGGGTTATTTTTGTCTTTTGCATAGATGTGAAATCGAAAGCAAAGTTCTTAATCTTATCATGATATTTTTGGGAGGGACGAAATATTGTAACATCAGACCTGATCCATGCATGTTAAATGCAGTACAACTTGTTTTGTTATGTTTAGATTTATTCACTTATATCTTGCATGTGATTATCAAATTTGATAATTTTTTAAAATTAGGGTATTTCATTAAACCACATGCATATACCTTTGATTACACATGAAGATGCTTTAACAAGACTACATTTCCAATCCTTTCCCCTCTTCAATTTCAAAGTCAACCCCCACCCTACTCTTTAGGACGAAGCAAAGGTGATGATGCTAAAAAAAACTAACTCATCTATAAAATCTTCAAGAACCTATCTTTAAATTTTCAACAGTTTCTAAAGATCTCTATAAAACGCTTCATTTTTGTTCTTTCTTGAATCTTATCAAGAATGCATAGATCATCATCAGCCACCACCTTCCGCACCTCCGATGAGTATTTCCTCAACCTATTGCCGCCAGGGAAGCCGTCCAAACCACCACTGGATCATGACTTACCGGTGTACAATCCAATCTCTCCAAATGGAACCAAGGAACACTATAACTCATCAAGGGAAAACACTATTCATCTCATCCCACTTGTTTTGCTTCTTTGTGGTTTTATTCTTTGGTTCTTTTCTCATCCGATTGATGAACTCAAAGACAACCATATTACAATGTAAAATTGTAAATCACAATGTCTTCATAGCAAGAAAAGTGGTAACAGAGTATTTCTAGAATAAGAAAGGTCGTGAAAGACTTTACTTATGGATTCTTACAACTTAATACGTTGATTGTTTTTAAATATGTAATATGTAATGAGGAGTATTATTGGATTTTATGATATATTATATTATACAAAACAAAAACGATGTTTTATTGTTAAATGTGAAAGTAAGAAAGGGAGTAAACGCAAAAAGTATGATAACATCATAACAAGAATTTCAATCACAAGTCATGGTTTAAAAACGTTGTGTTGACATTTTGTGTGTTCTAACATGTGGATTTTGGATATTGATATACAAATATACGTGTTAAAACATAAAATTTATGCATGACTATCTAAAAGGCTATAAAGTTGGCAATTTTGATTCGTTTTTTAGGAAATGGTAGGTTTTGGCTAAATAATATCTCTAAAAGACTGAAGGGATGTTTGGGATTTTGCTTACTTAAAGTGTTTTTTTAGTCTTATTGCGGTTTTGTTTTAAATATTTGGATAAAAAAACATAAAAAATGATTACTTAAAGTGTTTTTAATTTTATTGCGGTTTTGTTTTAAATATTTGGATAGAAAACATAAAAAATGATTAAAATGCTTTTAATCTTATTGCGGTTTTATTTTAAATATTTGGATGAGAAAACATAAAAAAATATTAGTTAAAGTGTTTTTAATTTTATTATGGTTTTGTTTTAAATATATGTCAACAATACCGTTTTTAATTTTTCTTCGTCAGTAATATATAAGGATGTTTTTTTTTAATTTATTTATTTATAAGCAAAATTTATGTATAACTTATCAATATTGTGTTTTAGTCCTGTATTGGTATAACAAACATTTTTTTTCTTCAATTCAGTTTTTGTTACTATATAAGCAATTTCACCAAAAATACATAAATTACTTTAAATAAACAATTTTAGATAAAATGAAATGGGTCAACTTTGGTTTATAGTATCTCCAATGGATTAAATAGATGAAATCAAATAGCTTAGTTGAAAGTGAGTTGAAAGTAGATTGAAATGCATTAAAATATATACAACCTTCAAAATCAGCTTACTAAAAGATTATATTATTATTTTTTAATATATATTTTTTTGTAATCATACTTAAATTCGAAAGATAAAAAGTATCAACATGTAAAAAAATATTTTTTGTAATCATAAGAAGCACTTTGTTGAAATCTCATTAATCATTTAGATGTAGATTTTTGTCATAACTGAGAAACACTTGGTCAATGAAGTGATGCATGAGAGCAGATATATAATAATATAATCAAGTGCATAAGCTGGCGAAATGTATTTTTCTTTTTCTTTCCTTTTATTTATTTATTTTTTCATATAATTGGACACACATGAAACTTTGCAGTAATACTAATAGAAAAGCATTTCAATGGTAATTCAAAATAAATGTTATATCATTAATGGTGGCTAATGACAGATGGGCTTAATCCATCTGCGATTAAGGTGACTAAAAATGCAATTTGAATTTTTTTGGCTATTTTTCACAAAGTAATTAATATTTTTGGCTAAATTTGTAATTTTCTTTTAAATTTAACTCTAAATTAAATAACATCTTCAATGATTACAATTTTTATATAGTTATTATCATTATTATTTCTTATAAATTAAACTAATTTATCCCCACCTATCTAAAGTGTTTTATAAAACCACCTCATATGTATTAATATTTATTATTAGTATTAATGTATTTGTTATGGTTTGTATTACACTTTATTATGATTTGTATAAATCAAATTTTTCAAAGCTTATTTTTTATTTTATTTTTTTCATTTTTTATCGGTTTCATTTAAACAGTGAATCATATGGTTTTACGTTCTAGATTCGCCATTGACAGATTGTTGATTGTTTTCTTAAAGTCCGAAAAACTAAAGTTGTATGGTGATATAAAAACACTTGATAGTCATTTTAGTGAATAATATTGAAACTATTAAATTAAACTTGCAAATTGAACAACATCAAACTATCACCTTGAACAAAAGTTGTGATTTACTCTAATTTTAACATATTTGCATATGATTTTAACATAAAAGTCACGTACAATCGTACATCTCGTGTTTACAAAAATCCAACGTATAATATAGGAAAATATCATATCATCACTTTCCATTTATGTTTTCTTTAATATTCTAAATCGGCCCAAAAGGGTAAATACAAAATATAAAAGCACAAAGGAGAGGAAGATGCGTAGTATACATGAAAAGCGTATAATAACAAGAATACCAATTTCCTCAACAAGGTATTCTTCCTTCATAATTCTTGTGCAGTTGGAAACCTCCTCCTGTTTCCTCCAACAAATTGAAAACACAACTCCGATCAAGACTCTGAAATCGAACTTCTCGATTTCAAAAGGTTAGTGATTTCACATCAATCTGTTATCTGCTTTCTTTAATTTTAGGATTTCGACCGACGTCGATGTTAGATAATTTTTAATGTTCCGTTGAATGATTGTTATTGATTTGTTAGTTATTAGCTTCATCTTCTTCATTATATTCTGCTTGATTGAAGTTTCTTTTTATGAATTTGTAATGGCATTTGATGTTGATTAGCGATTTAGAGTTCGTTATTATGTTCGTGCTTTTCCTTTTCGTTTTCGAGATCACGCTAACACGATTACGTTGTAAAACGCAAGGAGTGTCTGTTATATTTGTATGTGTGTTTGTTACGATGTTATTAAGACTCTCAATTCTCGGAAATTTACATCCAAACACAGGTTTAATAGATTTCTTTATCAAGATTTCGAATTCTTTTTGTAGTGGAAGAATATGAAGAACTTTTGTTGTTTGTTTGTGTTTCTGTTTTGTTACTTTATGATCATATTGTTTCTTTTTTCCCCCTTGTGATTATCATATAATGATATTTTACTTACTCTTCAAATTCCCAATTGAACAGATTCTGAGAAACCAAAACTTCTGCATCATGAAATACAAGAAAGGAAGTATAGTGGAAGTCTTGAACACAGACAAAGCTCCTTCCCATTCATGGCGTTATGCTCAAATAGTTTCTTACAATAAACACAACTACACAGTCAGATACGATGTCTACCATGGAAACCAACAACAACAACAACAAGAAGAACACATATCAAGAAAATTCATCAGACCATGTCCTCCCACAGTTGAAATTTCAGTACACTACCCTGGTGATGTAGTGGAAGTATTTCACAATCTTTCATGGAAGATGGCAATCGTTTCCAAATCATTCAATTTGGACTTATTTCAAGTAAGATTAGTCGGATCTTTTATCGAGATCAAAGCAAGAAAATCAGAGCTACGTGTACGCCAATCATGGCAGAATAACAAATGGGTTGTGATTGGAAATCGGAACAAGAAGCAAAGGTACACTCATGATAGTGTTAGTGATACTAGTTCTGTTGGTAGTTGCAGTGTTGATGATAAATTTCAGAATATAAAAGAAGGTGATATTGAAAGTGATGATGGAGAGTCTGTTTGTGAAGGAGGGTATTTTGGGGATAATAAAAAGGAGTTGGGATTGGGGGCAGAGATACATAGGTTAGAGTTGAAGGCGTATAGGCGTACAATTGAGGCATTACATGCGTCAGGACCATTAAGTTGGGAAAAAGAATCAATGGTAACAAATCTTCGTATGTCGCTCCATATATCAAATGATGAGCATTTGATTCATCTTAAAAACTTAATTTCTTCTTCAAGTAGTATTCGTAATAGATGACATGGAAAAAAAAAACAAAACATTCTTTATTGAATGCCTCACATAATTGTAAAAAAAAAGCATTTATTGTCATGTTATGAAATGTTTAGCAAATTCCTTCCTTATTTGATGTGTATTTTATTGGGTTTGTTTGTTCTTGTAAGTTTTTAAATTTTTTTTTGGGTGGTGATATTATTGATGCTTCCCATTGGTTTTCCAGGCCCAAAAGTTGGAGGCTTGTACACCTGGATGCATTGCTGGGTGTGCCACCTTCTCTGTTGGTGTTGGATGACGTGGCACATGCAAAATAAGATCTGTTGCAAACAGCTAATCATTACCCTCTTGTGTACTTAATATATTCGCATGATGTGATATGTTAATCGGGCTATTTTGGTTTTATGATGTAGGTTTTTTACATAAGTTTATGTATGCAGTTTGATATTCAAGTTTTGGCCATTCAAAGACCATTATGCAGCTTATGCTGGTATGTTTTATTATAAGTACCGGTATTTTGGAAGTATATACAACTTTTTTGAATTGTTTGTGTCAAAAGAAATTATATCATGCATCTTTTAAGTTGTTAATTTGTGAATGTTGATGTCAATACACAAAATGTTGGTATTTCCAAAAGTGGGTAACTTTAGATAGTTTTGTAGCTGGAGATTTGGAGTGGTCTACCTACTTTGATTTTTTGCAAAAATTAGATGTTCTTAGATTTTTTTTTCTAATTTTGATTTTTTTTTCTGAACAGGTAAAAATTCTATATGAAATCAAATCGAGTAGTCAATGGCTTTCTTTTGTTCAACTTTTAGGGGTTGTTTGATATGCCTCTTACGAGGTTTGGTGAGAGGTTGGGTTTGACTTGGTCATATTGAGACAGTTTGATGTCACATTTAGAAGAAGTCTTTGGTCCGATCATCGGTCCTGACTCCTCTGAAATGCATCTTAAGGATGAGGATGACGATTGAGTGACTGAGTCTTACTAAATCAAACGTCGACTCGATCATATTCAATCAACAACTATCAAATAACTCTTTACTTTTAATATTAGAACACTAATGAGATCTATGGTTTTTTTTTTTTTTTAAACTTTTTTGATTACAAGTTGGTAATGGAGATGGGCAACATAACCATTCCCTACATTATAAAACTAAATGGAAAGAGGCTTTGAATAATGCAAGATTTATTTATTTGAAAATAAACGGATCTAATTTAAATCATATGATTTCGAGGGAAATATTATCTAAAAATAAAAATAAGAGGGCAATATTGTCTTCCGAAAATAAGGGTATCGATAAGACTAAGAGTGTCTCCAATCATTATTACCTCAAGGATAGCTTCTTTTGTTTTGCTACACCGTCTTTCCATTAAATATATCATACAAAATGTTGTTAACTTAAATATTCTCTAAGCATTAACCACTTCTAAAAGCATTTTTTTTGTTTATTAAATTAACTAATTTACACTAATTTATTTTTTGTAAATATTTTATAAATCACCCTCATCTAATATGCTATTTTCTAGCACATGTAATGTTATAAAATTACAAAGTTCTTAATGGAATTAAATAAAAATCATTATATTACAATATACAAAATTAAAATAAATATTAATAAATCTAGAGTTCATATAAGATCATTTTGATATTTATATCGGAGACAATGCAAAAAAGCTAAAAAGAATATATCATAAAATAATAATGTGTTAAAGGATAAATATAATAAGGGGAGTAAAGTAGAATAAAGATGGTTTATTGTACAACATGACAATTAAAACACCATTTGATATAATAGAAATAACGAAGGACTTTTGATGTAGTCCCAGAGCCGGTTTGGAGGGATCCCGATATCGATATGCTCTACTGGAATATACAGATAAAATATGGATCAGATCATGGCTCGGATACACTCGTCCCTTCTTTCCCCGTCTAGATACCCAGAGAGGATGAAACAAAAAATGTTGAGATTCGTCGTTCATTGTTAGAAATGGTTGATATTATTAAAAAAAAAGAAAATTCACTATGATAGCAAAATGTTATCTATAACTTTAATTATTTATATTTGACCTTTTAAAAATCAATGTAATGACCCATTTTTCTAATATAGAAATAAACTTTAGTTTCATAATTGTTCCAAGATCAAATCCGAGAATTTACTACGACAAAACAAATACATCGATAACTAGCCTAAAAACAAAGGAATGCAAATACTACACCCATTACTATCCTCCTTCAGACCTTGTGGAAAAGGATCAAATGATCAGAGTCCACGTTCCATTTTCAAACGACACTGATAATGCCACCCCAACGATCAACATTAAAAATGGCCTACTTTATAACTATCTAATGGATTAAGCTAAATGCCACCCTAACAATCGACATGGTTGATAAGGTTAAACTCGATGATGTATGGGTTGTTGACCCGGGGTGCGACCGAGCACATAATATGTAAATAAGAAATACTAAAAAGTAGAACAAGTAACATTTGGGAAACCTCTATCAATGTAAGTCTCCAAAAATCGCTTGATGTATCAATCAGATCCACTTGATGGTGCGGAATCCTAATCAAGCGGATGATGCAAGATCAAATGGAGAAGAAGAAGAACTTGATGAATCTATGATGTATTCAATAATATGAATGATGTTCCATACACATAAGATCCACACACACACACTCTTCTTCTTTCTAGTTTCTCTCTCTACAATATGATTATGAATGAATGCTCTACTAGACTCCTCACCCTTATATATATATATATATATATATATATATATATATATATATATATATATATATATATATATATATATATATATATATATATATATATATATATATATATATATATATAGAGAGAGAGAGAGAGAGAGAGAGAGAGAGGTGAGTTCAATTGAAAAAATAAAAAAGGTTGAGAATGGGGGAATCATTCTCAGCCACTCATTTAATCTAAGCATAAAAAGACACGGTGGCAAACTTGTAAATATGTTAATAACCTTCAATATCAAATACGTAACTATAGAGAATTCGATAACAGTTTGTTCATCATCAAAATTTCTCCTCCAACCTTCAACAATCATCCAATGTTAATCAATCATCGATATTCGTGGCTGGGAGGTTCGCCGTTCAAGACAGATTCGCAACCCAAATTCATCAATTTCATCGATTTCTTTGTTGAATACTCCGAATGTTCGTAGCTTGCAAGCATTTGTTAAAGTTCATAACGAATTTGGAACTGGAATTTCCCAGATTCGCAAACGAAATCAGTTGGAATCGGAATTTCTTCGTTGTTCATGAAATTGGAATCGGAGTTCTGGACTCGCAGTCACAGTCGACATTGAAGGACTCAGAATTGGTACTCACAGGTTCCCAATCGGATTTTCGGAAATCAAAATCAAAATGAGAAATCAATCAGACATATGATGTCGCATCTGAAGTCGAAATCGGAAGTATATGATGATTTTGGAATTGATAACTTGATGTTTTTAACATTTTTAAAATAGTTAACTTGTATGCACTCCAACTGTTTGATGAAATGCATAAACTAAATTACCACGTTATATTCACATATGAATATGTTTTCTCACCTGAATCAGTATATGATTATTAAAAAGACAAAACAAATATGCAATTCTGTATGTTATTCATATGTGAATAACATATAAAAATTATATATATTTGTCAAAATACCTTCTAATATTCATAAGTGAATATATTCACAAGTGAATATACCTTGTAATATTTATATGTGAATATACTGTGTAATATTCATAAGTGAATATATCATCTAATATTCACAAGTGAATATACTATGTAATATTCACATGTGATATACCATGTAATACTATGTAATATTCACATATGAAATATCATTTAATATTCATAAGTGAATATACCATCTAATATTCACAAGTAAATATACTATGTTAATATTCACAAGTGAATACATCGTCCAATATTTAAATATGAATATACTATGTTTATTATATGCTATATTCATATATGAATGATACTTAAATTGTAAAAAAAATAAATCATACTTTTTATTCATAAGTGAATAACGAATGTACTGTAATAAAACCTGATGCATTTTTATTCACTTATGAATAACGATAGCTGAAAATATAATTTTTTTTTATTTTATCTTAAGACTATATCAATATGGATGTCTATTTGTAGAGAATAAAAAATCATGAATTTTGGTATATTTAAAATCATTTTTTGATAAAAATAGCTTCTAAAAATAAAAAAAAACGAAAAAAACTATGTTTTTGTATATATTAAGGTAATGATTAGCATAGTTTAAGGAAATATGTTTTGTTGGAAAACACATGTCTATTCATTTCCCATTTCCGCTGGTACGACGGAGGCTTTTGCGGCAAAAATAAATGAGTGGCTGAGAATGATTCCCCCATTCTCAACCTTTTTTTTTTCTCAATTGAACCCTCCCCTATATATATATATATAATATATATATATATATATATATATATATATATATATATATATATATATATATGGACCGCAAACTCAAGGCCCAAACCCAATGCTAGACCGAAAACACATGGGTTTTCGGTCCAAGATACAAATAAACTAAATATTATTTTCGGCCTAAGACTAAAAATAATAAAAGCTTAGAAAAGAAAAGTATAAACCATATTTTTGACCCAACAATCTCCCCCTTGGTTTATAGCTTTCTTTTTTTTGACCCAACAAACTCCCCCTAAGAATGTAGCTGACTTTTCTTGTCAATCTTCATTTGGAGCTTGGCTTCCACTTTTTGTTTTCTATTTCTTCACAACTTCAAGATGAACAACTGAATCTTCTAGGTGAATGACTTCATCTTGAACAGTTGGGCTTTTCTTCAAAATTTGACTTTGAATGCATGTTGAGTGTGGAGGCTTCTTGTATGGATTCTTGAAAATCTGCGCTTTCAGCTTGAGAATCTTCAGAGAGAATATCAGAGAGAACGAATCTTCTAGATCACTTCAGCAGGTACATAGACAACAACAAATTGATTGAGGAGACTTCAATGCAATCTGTCACATAATCTTCAAGTACAGCTTCACCTTGCTTCTGGGGTTAAAAGATTGAATGTTGAAAGAATAATCTTCATTTCTTGTTCCTTCGAATGAGAATTCTTCGACAATCACGGATGAAGCTTTGGCTCAGAAAATCTCGATACAGTCTCCATGTGTCTCATCTACATCTGAATTCACTTTTCAAGACAAAGAAAAATTTGAGTTAAAAACAAAACTAAAAGAAAACTTAGCACACAATATTTTTGGATTTTTTTTCATATTTTTTGAAAAAGAAATAAAAACAGAAACAAAAATATTTTTGGATTTTTGAATTTTCTGATTTTTTGTTTGATTTTTGAATTTTCTGATTTTTGTTTGATTTTTTAATTTTAATTCTCCCCCTAAATTTGTGCATAGAGGAAAACTGTGAACAAATTGAACCAAAACAAAAATAATAACTAAATTCGAAAACTACTTTGGGATCAAAGTTGTCAAGCAATTCAATCTCGATTATCAGCACACGCCTACATGTTTAGATCTGGTCAATCATCGGTATTGTGGTCCACTTAAACACGAAGGATATTGACAAGTTGTACAGATTATACATGACAAGACATTGTACTTATATTTCTAAATGGACCATTTAGCTGATGACGACCAAGGATATTGTTGTCCACTTAAATTCAACAGCGAGATCTACAGACAACCTATTAAATGGTTCAATTTTAGATGTACTAGAACGTGTTCCCCACTTCCCGATATACCCCGGTAATCAAGAACTTCTAAAGAAATCTTTACTTTAGGTGAGTAGACAATCATTAAGAGGGAAGTCAGATTTAGAGATAGGTGCATATGTTGTGACCCATGTCAGATCTCTTCCAATCATACAGAGGGTACAACATATGGCTAACTAGAATAGAGGGATTGAGAAGTAGAATGTTGCATATGCTGTGTTCCAGGTCGGATCTCTTTCAATCACGCAGAGGAGACAGCATATGGCTAACAGATAGAAAGAATTGCATAGATAAGAAGATGCATAAAAATAGAGTTGCA